GAGAGAGAGAGAGAGAGAGAGAGAGAGAGAGAGAGAGAGAGAGAGAGAGAGAGAGAGAGAGAGAGAGAGAGAGAGAGAGAGAGAGGGATCCACATTCATGTAAGCCAGGAAATTTGACAAAAACCACATTGAGTGAATCCACGTCATAGGCGGGTAACAGGGGCCGAAGCAGGAAAAACCACATTGAGTGAATCCAGGTCATAGGTGGGTAGCTCGCCGAAGGAGGAGTCTAGTACGTACACCATTTGTGGATCGACAAGGAGGCGGACAGGCTAACCTAACAACGTGGTCAGGGGATATGTTACTAATCCCTAGTGTTGTCGGTCTAGTCTAGCGATGTGAGAAGTTGTAGCTTTTTTATCAGTTTCCCCTTTTTTTCGTGGGTTAGTGTCTGTTGATTTGAACCATTAACGTTTCAGTTTCTGAATGATGTAGGATGTGATACATGACGTTGGGATGTGTTATGACTACGATTGGCGATGTGCTGAGATGGAGTTCAGACTCAAACTGTTGTCTTGACGGATATTATTTTTGTTGTTGGCAGTTGGTTTTGAACCAGTGTCTTTTGGAACTCAAGTAGAACTAGCCTTAGGAACTACCGTGACGTTGGGATGTTTTGAGACTGGCGCTGTGCTAAGATGGAGTTAAGATTTGAACTGTTGTCTTGACGGAGATTCCTTTTCTGTTGTCGGCACTTGGTTTCGAAATGGCATCTTTTGGAACTCATGTAGAACTAGCTTTAGGAACTACCGTGCCTCTAGATGTCTCTGTTAGCTTTAGTTCACAAGAGATAAATAGGAAGCCCATAGTACCGGTTCCTACCGACAAGACCCCTGAAGAGGCTGGGCTTAGCAACCAGCCGAATCTTTTGGAACTCATGTAGAACTAGCTTTAGAAACTACTGTGCCTCTAGATGCCTCTGTTAGCTTTAGTTCACATGAGATAAATAGGAAGCCCATAGTATCGGTTCCTACCAACAAGACCCTTGAAGAGGCTGGGCTTGGCGACCAGCCGAAACTGATCGGGTCAAGCGCCAACCAGACTCTGTCCGCGTATCGAGCTTCATGTTCCTTTTTTCAACGCCGCGTTCGGGATTATTACGATGACTTCATCTCGTGTCTTCTTCTCTCTTAAACCACTAGTACCTTTGCCGCGTGGGAAAATAGCCGGCCTCGGTGGGTCTCCGACCTTTTCGGATGGCCGAAACGAAACGACGGCGGCCGATCAGATTTATCAATGGCAGCCATCGTCGGGCCCGGCCTCCAAATTTTCAGGAGTTTGGGAAAACGTCCACTTTTCCCTAATTTCCCAACACTGGCGGAGGTACTAGGGCTTTAACCTTCCCTTTTTCTGACCTCTTCCCCCTCCCTAACCCTTCTCCTGTCAATTGTGTATGTATCCTGTGTGTGAGGTCAATGACGTGATGGTTGAAGCTTGTTGACACTTAACGTGTAAAGTTTAGTCGGTATAACGACAACTTTTCACACGGGGTAGTTGTCGTACGTACGTGTGGCTTCGATTGATGTTGTAGTAGTCAGCATGGCATCTAACTCGGCGCCGTCATCGTCCATCAGTCGCACGTGCTATAACTGCGGGCAGCCTGGATATTTCTCTCGCTTTTGCCCCCTTCCTGGTTGTCGTTTTTCCACTTCAATCAAACTAATACTAATACGGCGATTCTTCCTGCGCAGACCTCCCAAGTGGTGACCGTACTGGTGGGTGGCACATCGTTTGGCAATTTTGGATACAATTATGGTGGTGGACTCAAGCCGCGGGTGGACAGCCTTGAAGCTACCGTTGCTGCCATTAAACCACCAGTACTTCCTAGAGTCGTGCCCGTTAACGCACCACGATTTTAGAAAACGTACGGGCTATTACAGGAGTGCCCAAATTCATCCGACTAGAAACACTGCTACTCTTTTTTTTTCCACGGTCGATAGTTGGGCCAAGTATTGGTGGTTTATATCTCAACACGATGCTGAGTTGGAACATGAGAAGATGAACAAAGAAGAAGAAGATCATAAGAAGTGGGAGAAAGAAGATGAAGAATGTAGGAAAGAAGCTAAGAAGGAAAGAAAGGAATTGCATGCACAGATGAGCAATACGCTTGGAGGCAAGCTGGACATCGTGAAGGAACTTTTGGAAAGCAACAACTTGGATAATGAAGAAATGGCAAACATGAGAGCGGAGTTGGATTCCTACCGGAAGGGGCATCCCCGCAGGTCCTTAACGTTGTGTCGACCTCCGAGTCTGATTTTGAGAAGTATCAGAGAACGGTTCAAGAGGAGAAGTTACGGCGAAAAACAAGATTCACGGATATGGAAGATGAGATAGCGCGACTCAAGAAAGTGAACGAAGAAGCTTTGGGAGCGGTGGAGGGCGCTCCAACCTGGCAACAAACGAGGCTGTGTGGCCGTTACTCCTATACACCAGCCCTTCGGTCCAGGATGCGAACTAGACTGACCCCAGTTGTGTCACAACCTCTTGACAAGGACCAGGTCAAGCAGGCCTTGGCAAATCAGGAACAGGAGATTCGGTTGTTGAAGGAGTGGAGACTGCGTGAGTTGAATGGTAGACGTGAAGCGAAGGAGGAGGTAGACAGCGTCAAGGAGCAAATGGCGACTTTGGATATAAAGAAAACACCGATGGCCTCTAATCTGCGAGCTCGAATGGATAAAGTGGCCACAGCGGAGAAAGGTAAGAAACCCACTACTCCAACTTTGACCAAATGAGAGATTGCCTTGCTGAATCAACGTAAGGTTCTGAGGAATTTGAGGAAGGATGAGATCTTGGTTATCTGCGACAAGGAGGATGTGACTTATGTTACTCTAGACAAGACTAAAGAGGAGATTGCGCAGAAACATGCTGATGTGGAATGCAAAGTAGATACGGCAAAACCTAGCGGGGTTGATATCCATGATGTCTCGGATAATGCCGCGCCTGGCGGTGATGACAGTACGGAGGTCCATGGTGATTCGGGAAGTTTGTAGTGTCATAACCGAGCACGACTTTATGGAATTTACTGCACCGGTGCCTTAGATTAAGATCTCTCCTTCATTGGCTACGTTGCAAACCGTTGGCTACGTTGACCTGTGTGGTGTTTATCCTTTTGATTTCGTCGAAGTCGATTATGTGGGGGAAGTTGTGTGGGTTTTTGAGTCAAGTGGTTATTAATGGCGTTGACCTTGATTCGTTGTGTGGACCACTTGTTTATGTTTTGATTTCTTCGTGGTGCAAGGAAAAATGAGCAATAGCGAACTTCAGAAATCAAACAGCATCATACACATGAGACCAGATAGTCGTGACCTCGAACCAATAGCAGAATTGCATCACGAGTTCCACCAAATAAGAGCACAGCAAAAGCTCATAATTGACAATGTTGGATTAGTCTCATCATCATCAACGAAGAACCAATGTCGATATCCTATCTGGCGCTCGGCGCCCAGACTACAGATGGCAGATCCTAACTAGCCTATCTACAATGTCGCTGATGACGTCAACAACTCCCCGAAGTACGAGCAGATTTCGGCCAATGCCATGCGCCTCAAGTACCGGGTATGTCTCTCGTATCACTCACAACCTCGATCCCCAACTCACAGATGCCACATGCACCCAAGGACCACCATGCGCCCCATCCAGCATACAGCAGCGCAGCTCGACTATAGCTGCCTGCTTCTTCCAGCTTGCCCGTGGGCGCGTGAGCGCTGGCCAGCGTTAGCGCAGCAGCGCTTGTGCAGCATGCAGCCAGTGCCCAAATGCCAAATGCATGGGCAGGCACTTTCCTAAATGGAAGTGGCCTGCCTGCTTGCGTGCAGCTTGGCTGTGCAGGGCCCCTGCCCAGAAGCTTCCGATAGGCCTTGAGAGGCTGAGCCCCAGTCCACACGAAACAGGCCCTGGGGTTGTGGTGGTTGCCCATGTCCAACTACCCGCGGCCTGTGTTCGGTCCATGTTGCAAATCTGGCCCAGGGCCTGCCTTAGTACATGGGCGCTCTTAACCAACTGGCGCTGTGCAACTACCTGAATTTACCTAGTTGTGTGATGACCCCAAAATAGGCCTGTAGGCCTTGGGTCGAGCCTGCCTTCACTTAGGGCGGCCGACTTGTACAGAAAATAGGGCCAAATAGGGCAGATCGAGGCCTTGAGAATCACATTCCCTCCTCCATACTTCGCTAGTCCTCTGAGAAGTTCATTCAATCTGGCGCTTTCCTTTTTGGAGCAACTTCTCATAGTGGGCGACAAC